AATACCAGGCAGCTTGGCCCTGTAGGGCACTGCTGGCTCTTTTTAAAGACACGCATAGTCTCCGTCAACGGCCTGATATGCCCAGGAATCAAGTTTCAGCCTAGTTTCTGAATCCATGATGTCTGCTTTGTGTATCAAGTTACTGTCAGGATGAGTGGAAGACAGCGGTCTTGAGTCTCAGGACATGAAGAACTTCCCAGTGGGGCCAGGGCATCCTTGTCGTTGCCTTGGGTCAGCCAGTGGCATCACCTGGCATTTTGTGAGGATGGAAGACATGTGACTTGTAGAGTCAGGCTGATTCCGGAGAGAGGATCTGAATTCCTGCCTTCGATACTAGGAGGATTTGGAGAAGGTTGGCAGGAGATGCCAAAGCAGTCATTGATATGTGGCCATGGGGAAAGGCAGAATGCAGGATTTTGATGTTAGAGATTTTAGCAGCTCTAGCTCAATGTGTAGTGTGGGGACTGGTGAATATCGCTTCCAGGAAAGTTAATTTTACTCTTGCTGTTTTTTTCCAAAAATAATTTTACATACAATAAAAGCCACTTTTTTTTGCCCAGCCGAGTGGCTCAGTTGGGTTGAGTGTCATCCTGGGCACCCAAAGATTGCCAGTCCGATTCCCGATCAGGGCACAGTCCTTGGTTGCAGGTTCGATCCCTGGTCAGGGCACCTATGAAAGGCAACTGGTGGATATTTCTCTCTCATGGAGATCTTCTCTCTCTCTCTCTCTCTCTCTCTCTCTCTCTCTCTCTCCTTCCCTCCCACCCTGTTCCTCTCTCTAAGCATGTCCTTGGGTGAGGATTAAAAAAAAAAAAGGTAAATAAATAATTAAGTCACCCTTTTTAGTAAATGGTTCTGTGAATTTTGACAAATACATATCGTTGTGTGATCATCAGGATATAGACCATTACGTCACCCAGAAAATTCTGCTGTACTCTATGTAGTCCATTCATTGCCCTACCCCCAGCACTGGTTACCACAGATTTTTCTTTTCCTATAGTTTTTTTTGGGGGGGCGGGTCTTTTCTAGAAGGTCATTCACATAGCACATGACTTTTTGAGTCTGGCTTCTTTTACTCAGATTCACATATTTGAGAAGGTGGTTAAAAGTGTATGTGTGTGTGTTTTTTCATCTAGAGCCCAAGTTTGAGTATAAATATATTTAAATTCAAAGCAGAATACTTAAAGAATGAGGTATTTTGTTTTGGGTCAAACCTGTCCTGTTTGCATTCTTGTTACCAAAAACATCTTTTTTTTTTTTAAAACCTTTGGTCATAGAATGTGATCTCATCTTTCTCTGGTCCAAAACCTATGGAGCTTTGGGGTCTATCTGTGCCTATGACATGCTCCCTTCAGACCTGCATTTCCCAAGCGTGTTCTCTGTGGTGACTGGGCATGGACTCGGGATTGCCCTGTGCTGTCCACTTTATCTGTCTTTCTCTCTGCTAGCTTGCAAATGGCATCTCTCCACAAACCCCTTCCTAATTTTCCTGTGCCTTCTAGCCAGGACTGGATCTCCCTTCTTCCCCACTTTCACCGAGCCTTGAGTATATCCTATCCTTGGGTCTCAAACTTGGCTGCACAAGGCATCGCCCATGGTGATTTAAAATAATTCTAACTTCTGAGTCCCTTCCCAAGAGTGTGCAGTGTAATTTGCCTAGGGTGTGGCCTGGACATTTTAAAAGCTCCCCAGGTGATTCTGATGTGCAGCAATATTTGAGAATAACAGTGTCGTACATGCTTATACATGCTTACCTCATGCTCTCCGAGGCCCACTTTTTTCCTGTAGGTCTTTTCTATGAGCGTGACCCTGGATGGTCAGAGACCCAGTTTTGCCATAATACTAATAACAACCAATATTTCCATTAAGTGCTTGCCTGTGAAGTTTGCTTTAAGCCTTAGCACAAAGCCTGAGAAGTTGCTATTATTATCCCCTTTATATAGATGAGCGTTGCCCAAGGTCAGATCTCGTTAAGTGATAGAACTGTGTTTTGGCCTTCAGGTCTGGCTAATTCCTAAACACCAGACTGCATTACGAGCCAGGGCTCTGACCACTACAT